GTGATCTTTTCGTCCACGCAACTTCTACAAGCTCATGGGTTGAGAAAAGTCTGCTCCACCGAAACGCATGTCCGAGTAATCAACGACAACGATAGATGCGGCTAGATGCAGGCATGCCAACGTTTTAGCAACCATCCAAAAATAATAATTTTAATCATCACAAAACATTAGTACTCCATCCGTACGACAATGAGGGAGGGATGTTAGCTTGAAAAACCATCTTATATTATGAAACGGAGGGAGTAGTGTTTAGTACTAGGACTGATTTTGACAACGATTCAAACATATCGTGATTCCTGAATCATCAATGCCTAGGAAATGCCACGGTGCCAATCTTGGGCAAATTCACATTACCCCTACCATCTGCTTGAAGTTTGAGCAAGTGTCGCTTGTAACATGATCATCGTAATATTGTGAACGCACATATTTTTTTGGGATAGTCCAAACTCCAAAGGTGCCCTTTTGTAAAAAAAAAAAAGCGCGTTCTCTCAGGTGGAAAATGATTTTTCTTTTTTCTTCTGCAGGGAAGAAATTTTGTCAAACGTTAAAATATAGGAAAAATTATACATGTGCATGTCTGTTTTTGTGAGATCCTGGATTTTTTATATAGAAAAAACACATGTATTCAACCTTTTTTTAGAGCATTGAAGCTGCCAAGAGTGCAAAGATGTTTCTTTTTGCATGAAAATGGCACGATCATGTACAAAATAATACCATTTCTTTATAGTACAGATGTTTTTAACTAATTAATGATTTACTGTTCATTCCAGGAGACATTTCTCTACTCCTATGAATTTTGAGTTTATCTTAATAATCATCTTTACAATCACCTATTTTGTAGTGCTTTTTAAGGCACTGTTTTTAAGTAAATAAATTCAATTTTGGATGCATTTTTGGTTGTAACTGAACAGCTTCAGCTACGTTCATTTAGTCTAGTCATTTTGCGCCACATTTACAACAATCAGCCACACAACAACGCCATTATACCCAGGAAGCATTGAGATGTACTCCCTCTGTAAACTAATATAAGATGTTTTAGATCATTGAAGGTAGTACATGCAATTCGATCGAAGAACTATTCCAATTGATACAACATACTTTTTCTTATTCATTGCATGTGCACTGGTGCTACTTTCTACAGTAGTAGTACATGCCATGCGAGTTGGGCAGTGCCACAACAGCTCTATCGGAGTTCATAGTTGACCCTAGAAGAACCTATCAACAGATGGATCAGACTCCGACAAGCTACCTTCAAAGTTCACCTTGCAGCCACCAGGTAGCTGCAACCCAGCTTCCTCGCAGCTCTGCCTTGTAACCTGAGGACATGACCGGACGTCGAGGTACTCGAGTGCCTTGCATGACTCTATCACGCTGCTCACTCCCACAACTGTGAGGTCAACACAATTGTTGATCTTCAGAACTCTCAATTCCGACTGAAACAAGTTCGCTTCCATGCCCTGAAATGCCGCATCAGTTATTTGGTCGCAGCACCCGACATCAATAGCGGCAAGAAGTTTACAGTTGCACAACAGACTTCTCAACGAGGCGTCTGTTATTTTCAAGCACCAGTCCATTCTTAAAATCCGGAGGCTGCTACAACAGGCAAGAGCTAGTGCTTCTATGGACTCATCGCTAATATCCCGACATCCACCGATGATGAGGGTCTCTAGGTTGCAGCAGAACTTAGCTAGTGAATAGATGGACTTATTGCCCACTTTGCTGCAATCCAACAGTTTCAATGACACCAGAGATGATGACGAGACCTCAGCAATTTTGCAAATTCCAGGATCACCAACTTTATTGCATTTGCTTATGTCTAGTGACTTCATTTTATGACAACCATCGGCTAGAGCTGAGATTCCAGCATCTGTTATGCTGTTACATCCTGCAGCCCCAAGCTCTTCCAAGTTCAAACAGTTTTTTGATACAGCATGCAACAAATTATCAGTTATTAATCTGCAACCTGCGATGTGCAACTGTCTCAACTTCTGGCAGCCTGACGCAACCACCTTTAAACCTTTATCACTAAGTTTTTTGCAGTGAGAGACATCTAGGGTTTGCAGACATTGCAAGCCTTCTCCTAATTTGACCATTCCAACATCAGTGATACCTAAGACAGACATGAACAGTAGAATATGTAAATACATTAGATTAAGGAAATACCAACAATTCACAACCAAATCAGATAACTGGTGCCCCCTATTATATGAAGTCTCCATAAACTCTAAGTGACATTTATGTTCAAGAAAAATAAATAAAGAACACAAGTTTCAGTCCGTGCGAAAAACTGCGCGCCCGAAGCCAAAATGACAATGAAAGATGTCGGTTCCAGTTCTGAACTGCGTGAATGCATCAATACCGAAAACTCATAACTTCTAGCAGTGCTAGTAACTTCACAGTGCTGAAGATTACCAATATTAATTTTCGTCCAAAAATAACAATATTTATCACTGTGTCAGAGAAATGCTACAAAGACCACAAGTTGTATGAATACATATTTTGTTGGAAGTACATTTGCCCAGCTCAAAATTCTCTAGTCAGACTGCCCAAATTGAACTGATGGGTTATTATTACCACAACAAAGTACCAAACAGAAAGTTTTCTCGGAGCTGTAAAAGAAGTACATATGGGATTCCACACCACAGAAATCAGCATGTTCTATAAACACAATTGAGGGCAACTGAACATCTGCATCTGACCAGCATATAGAACCAAACATTTAACCAGGCTACAAATATCTCCACTAGAGTTGAGTTCTCTGGTCTAAGCCAGTAGCCAGCGTAATATAACCTGCGTCGAAAACGACCTTCCAGAAATTGCAAAATTTCTCATGTATGTACTTCTCACTTCGAATTAGAGCAGTAGCTGTAGCTGTCTGGGTTATTTGGTAGGAATCGAACATGTATATTGTGTGGCTTACCAGTCCGTATTTCATTAAATTTCTTGTTCACGTGTTTCTGATTGAACGATTCAAATTTGACAGAGTTAAAATGAACAAAGTTCTTCAGACGCCCCAGTTTGCTTATTCTCTCCCATCTTTGTAGGGTAAGAAACCCAATAAATCACAAATCTTACTACTTATTTGATAAGAAGGAAAGCTTTCTGCATTTGCGAATTAACGCACACAAACAGTGCGAATGGATCAGGCCGAAAAGAGGTCTCACCTTTGCAGTTCTGCAGGGCGAGGACTCGCAGATTGCAGAACCCCCCTGCAATGACGTCCAGATCGCCGTCGATAACACCGGGGTAGAAAGAGCGGGACGGCGACTGGGAGAGATCCAGCTCGAGAATGCCCGGGAAGCGTGCTGCCAGGCGGCGCAGCATGGACGGACCGGCGCGCGCGCGCAGGCGGCGGCGCTCGGAGCTCTGGATCCGGAGCCAGCGCCTGCACACGAGCCCGAACGCGTCGCGCTCCGACTCGGGCCTCAGCCGGGTGAGCACCGCACGGAGCTCATCGTCGGTGAGCACCTCGTTGATGAGGGCCTCATCGCCTTCCGACGGTGATGCAGACATTGCCGGAGTTACGACTTTTTTCGGTGAAGGGATTATTAGTTTTCAGTGCATTTGCAATGTAGACTTTTTTTTCTTCGGGTACAACACCCTGTGAACAGTAGATTATTAGAAAAAAAGAGAAATAAAAAATAATTCTTTTGTGATGCAAGTTGCTCAAATGCCTGATGTTTGTGCAATTTTTTGGGGTTGTTTAAACTTTCGAGAAGCTCGTGACAAAAAGGATAAAATCGGGTGTGAATTTTGTTTTTAAAAGTTTTTTAAACACACAAAATTTGTCTTTTTTACCACGAGCTCCTCGAAGATCTAGACTTAACCAAACTTTGTACACACATCACGCAGAGGAGCATCTTGCACCAACAAAATCATTTTGTATTTTTTTTCTATTTTACTATTCACACCCGGGCTCATCTGAGCCTGGGTGCAGAATAACCACATCCGATGAAATGGGTTTTTACATCTGCGGCACCGTAATTGGTCTTGCCGTCTTGGGCCTCTTGGCATGTGAGAATTGACAATGAACAACTCAAGGGATGTCAGACCAAGAGCTTGAGCAGCTCTCGCTCGCCATCCGAGTGTACCCTCGACTCCATGGTGATGTCCAGACGAAGTATCACCTCATTATCTACCATGATTTGGAATTTGACGTTCCCAATGAAGTGGTCGCTTCACTTAGCCAATCGTCGAGTGGTGCTTTTTAACTCACATGCTAGACGCCTAAAGGGGTTGGCAATTTGCTGCTCTTCATTCCACGCTTTGTGCACCACGTTCTGGAAGCCTCCACCACTGTCCAGAAGGTTTCGAAATGAAATCGGTTTTCTCGCCGCATGCAGGGGTCAAGCACCAAAAGAAGTGGACAACGATTCGACACGGACATGCTCAACACTGTGACGCCCCCGATTTCATCGTACACTAATCATACACGCAAATGTGTACGATCAAGATCAGGGACTCACCGGAAGATATCATAACATGACTCTAGACACAAATCAAAATAATACAAGCTCTATATTACAAGTCAGGGGCCTCGAGGGCTCGAATACATAGCTCGATTCACAAGAGTCAGCGGAAGCAACAATATTTGAGTACATACATAAGTTAAACAAGGATGCCTTAAGAAGGCTAGCACAAAAGCAACACGATCGAAGAGGCAAGGCCTCCTGCCTGGGACCTCCTAACTATTCCTGGTCGTCGGCGGTCTCCACGTAGCAGTATCCATCGGCGGTGGCATCTGGCTCCAGGGATCCACCATCTGGTTGCATCAACCGGAAAGAAGAAAGAAGGGGGAAAAGGGGTAGCAAAGCAACCGTGAGTACTCATTCAAAGTACTTGCAAGCATCAGATCTATACTAAGTATGCATTGGTATCAAATGAAAGATTTGTATCTGTGGACTGAACTGCAGACACTGAAAAAAGTAGCGTGCTATAACGCCGCTAATAGCATGCTATAGCATACAGAGAATTGTCTCGCTAAATAATCAATGTACAATGCCTCGCTAATAGCACGCTATAGCACGCTAATAGCATATTTTCAAGGGCCATGCTATTTTCTATAGCGCGCTATTTTTTCATTGTCTGCAGAATGCCAGAATAGAGGGGGAAGGCCTAGCCTATCGAAGACTAGCATCTTCAAGCAGCTCCAAGCATCTTGCAGCATGTAGAAGAGTAGAGAATAGCAATTTAATATTTAACAAACATGTTGTAGAACCAACACCCATAGATCCTTCCCTGACTCCCCGCGGAAAAGCAATCTTGGAGTCACATATCCATCACATGTCTCAAGTATCCATTTCTAGTTATATAAGATCAGGATATAAGCCTGAACATCCATTATCGTGGACACGATATTCGAATATATATCTTCCCTGTAGGGGTGCACCACGTTACCCAACATGCTCGATCACTCTGGCCGGACACACCTTTCTGGGGTCAATGCCCGGCCTCGAAAGATCAACACGTCGCAGCCCTACCTAGGCTCAGCAGAGAGGTCCCCGTCGGTCTACCTCCTAAGCACTCTGGGGTCTGGGCCCATCGCCCGTTGCACTCCGGGTCGTTGCGAGCAGGGCAGACCTGGCTCCACCACTATAGAATGGTGTCGGCCCAGCCGTGCCGCACTGCTAAACTGGACGTCTGACAAAGCTTCGGCTGATACCACGACGTCGAGGCCCATAACTATTCTCGCGTGGTGGTTAGTGCGTAAAGGCCAGAGGCCAACTCAGAACAAATACCCAAACCTGTTAGTGCATTGGGGGCTCGCGGAAATGAGCAGAGACTCACGATAATGTGACCCCGTCGCCCCATCTCGTGGACTTACGGCAAGGGCCCAGAATGCCCGGCCATGCCACGTAGAAAACTCATGGGTGCTCAACGGGCCCGCCCGACTTTCACATCAACTCGCGGGTGCCCTCAAGGCCGACCCGACTTCAACAATGGTCTCAAGTAAAGTCCGGGTAACTGTGTGTCCAAACATCAAGGGGAAAACCCCGAGGAATTACCCCCGGTGAATTCCACTCAATGTAATCATCAAGGTGAACGTAAGAGGAACCACCCTCGAGGTTCACACTTGAGGTATTGCACGACAGAGCCGTATCGGGAGTGGTGAAGGAGGAACCACCCTCATTGACCACGACCAAATAGCTACACTACAGAGTTGTCATCGGGAGTGCATTGTGAGGTCTCACCCTCGACACTCGATAGTAGCTCTGCAGAGTCGAGCAAAAAAGGGGGCATGATGTGATGTGAGGTGTCGGGCTCTGGTCGTCGATCACGTTGATCGATTCGTCGATGATGAAGCAGGGGCAACAAGGACAAGGTGGGGGTCACAGGTGGATCGCTAGCCAACCTATACTAAGCAGTTTAGGATAAGCAGGTAGGTAACAATAAGCAGGTACAAAAGCAGGCTATGCATCAGAATAGGAGCAATCAATTACAGTAGCGAAATCTAATGCAAGCATGAGATAATGGAATGGGCGATATCAGGATGATCAAAGGGGGGGCTTGCCTGGAAGCTCCAATGAAAGGGGAGAAGGGTCATCGTCGACGTAGTCGATCACAGGGGCAACATCAGTCTCGGAGTCTACCGGAGAGAAGAGGGGGAAGAAACAGTAAATACATAGCAAACAGATGCATGACAGGTAATAACCAGCGCTAGGGGTGTTCTAACGCGACACTACACGATACCGGCGAAGGGGAATAACATCCGGGAAAGTTTTCCTGAAGTTAGGCATTTTTTGAACAGATGAAACGGAGGGGGAAAGTTGCATGTTCGCTATGCTAGGGATGTGTGGTGGGCGAACAGACCGTGTATTCGGATTTGTCTCATCGTTCTGAGCAACTTTCATGTAGAAAACATTTTCATCCGAGTTGCGGTTTATTTTATATGATTTTCCAAAGTTTAAACAATATTATGAAATTATTATTAAATCTAAATGGAGTTATTGCACCAGCATGACGTCATCACGATGTCAGCGGTCAACACTAAACGTTGACTGGTCAAACAGGGCAGTGGGCCCTGTTTGTCGTAGGCACATTTAACTAAATAGGTTTAATTAGACTAATATGTAATTAGGTTAATTAAACATAATTAATTTACGTTAATTAATCGGATTAATTAATTAAACTATTTTTATTTTTACATGTTTTCTTTTCTACTTTTTTAACAGGGGCAGGCCCCACTTGTAAGTGGCCCAAGACGCCACGCGGGTTAACA